TGTATGTTTCCTAGTGCCTTCTAGAATTTCTAGGTATATCATTGGTCTTGTTCGGATCGTCCATTACGTTTGCAGCTGTTCAAACTTGTATTGTTGTTTATTATTTTATTGATTTATTTATTCTACTTGCCTTTCCTATCTTCTTGTGTTTTAGCATTAGGCGATTTGATCGCAGGACGAGAGAGGAGCTGATGGACGATCTCTCCAATGTTCCTCTTGGTTCGGAGCGGCGCCGAGTGCTGACGTTGGGACTTGGGTAAGGATGAGTGTTCCCTCATGTTTACAAGTTATCCGTTTTGTCCAACACTAACGGTTATATGCAGAATACTGCTGAGTCAAAAATGTGCAACAATCAGCACAAAAACTGACTGATGAGATCATGACATTCAACGACCTGATGCTTAGCTGCATCACGTTTATACCCGTTAGTGTTGGAAAAAACAGATAACTCGTAAACGTATGGTCCTCTTTTTTAATTTTAATCCTTGGCTCTCCATCCGAGTTTCCTCATGTGTTGCTATTATTTTTATTTACTTATTTTTTTGCCCAGGGTCTACATTCTACATTTATTTTACTTAGACTAGGGTTAGTTGTCCATTTACCAGTACTCATCCACACATATGTGCACATAGGGTCTACACAGAACTCTATCAGTAGGTATTTTTGTATAGGAGGTTGTCTATCCTCCGGGATAGCACTATATACTCCCATTCTGTGTGTTCTCTGGTAGCTATGTCCCTTGGAGACTATACGGTGCCAGTGTGGTGACCGAGGTCAGGCCGTGTCTGCACTGGCATCGTCAACTTTGCCTACTGCTACGTGCTCCCCAGTGCTCCATCTGTGTCCTGTACTTTATTTGGGGGGGAGGGGCAATACTGGTACTTCAGGTGCAGGGGGCAAGGGGGATGGGGTGGGGGACATCATGCCCCCAATGAACCTCTCCAGGCGTTGTTCTGGAGTAGACTAACCATAGGCGGAGTGTACACATGCAGCACATAGTTTGGGAATTAGAACGCGATCAGATTCGGGCATATTCAAAGGCAGTCTATTGTGATAGTAGTCCTGGACGGATCTCACTATGATGATATAGGTCGTGCCCAGCATCACAATGCCAAACATTATAAATGACTGTTTTTTTTCCTGAGGGGCTAGATGAACATGTGGCTAGACTGCCGATGGCAACCAACAGGCTCAAGGCTGTGTTGAGACTTCGTGTTTGCGACCCGAGTCAATTGTTTACTCACCATGACTAGGCATCGTATGACCATGTTATATGTCACTGTTCTTAGTCGCACCGGGGGCGCATGCCCGTTTTCAGGAGACTTATCAAAACACATAAGCCCTGTGCCCTGAAGGTTAGGCCTATTGTTAGTCTGAATAGTCCTGGCTACTATCCCGCTAAGTTCATTGACTTTCTACTGAACCTGTATGTACGTGAGGAAAGTACTGTTCTGGCCTGAACTACGGATTTCATCAACTTGGTAGAAGGTTTGCCTGTGCGGGACGATCATTTATTTTTGAGTATAGATGTGACCAGCCTTTACACCAACATCCCCAACGAGCTCGGTCACGTGGCATTGTCGTGGTATATCACACACAGGTATACAAGGTGGATGCCCCCGGCCCTTCGTACACGGTTAACAACAGCAGTGACTTCCTTGATGTCAGTCATTCGGAAGACTAACGGGTTCGTGTACGATAACGATTTGTTTCCGCAGATCCAAGGGACTGCCATGGGTTCGCCTGCAGCAGTGGTCTATGCCGACATTGTTATGCTGTATTTGGAGAATCGGTACATTTTGCCGATCTTAGAGGGGGAGGGTTTAGAGGTTCAGGTTTATGGACGCTTTATCAGTGACATTTTTGTTTCATTGCATGGTTGCGAAGGTCAAGTTCAGCGCGCTTTAGACAGGATTAATAAGTGTTCGGCCCTCGAGTTTGCGCATGAACTGGCACATGATGGCATTGATTTCCTGGACACCACAGTTTTCCGTAGTAAGGGATACATGGCGGTGAAGCCTCATTTCAAGGTCACCAGTCGTTTCCTGTATCTGCTTGCCGGTAGTAACCACCCCCGTAGTATGGGTAAAGGTGTGATCACTGGGGAGTTGATCCGTATCCGTCGGTCTTCGACCCTTGACCACCACTACGAAGCTGCTGCCGAGCAGGCGAAGCAGACTTTCCGGGCCCGTGTATACAAGAGCTCCATCTTTCATCTTTCAGACCGTACACCAGGCATGCAAGGCCGGCACAGCTGGGGTGGCTGGGGCGGCCTCAGCCTTTTTTGGCCGTTTTTTTGTTCTTGTTTTTTTAGCACACTGCAACAAAGCGCGATGATCGCAGCTCAGCTCAAACGTGGCAAATAATGAAGAATCCTTGTGTATCAAGGTCAAGGTGTGTGTGTGTGTGTGTGTGTGTGTGTGCCTGTGTGTGTGTGTGTGTGTGTGTGCCTGTGTGTGTACGTGCCTGTGTGTGTACGTGCCTGTGACGTGTACAGCCGGTGTGTGCACACCGCTAGCTAAACCGACCAACGGCTACTCCCAGGGCACAAACTATTCTGCTGGAGGCAGCGTCGTCTTCGGCAAATATTCCGGATACAACCTGCAGGGAAGCATTGTGCGCATCTGCCAAATTGACGGTTCCTGGAGTGGGGCAGCTGCCTCATGTAATCGTAAGTCGAATTTCAAGAGAGCCAATATATCCCTCTTGTGTAGAGAAGCTTCAGGCTTGTAGGAAAGCAGATTCTGGTGGCGTTGATCTTTCCTATTTACAGAGCATGTAATAGTCTGGGTGTTACCTGCCACTTTTCATCATCACAAATGATGATCGTGCTTATCACAGGACCCAGGACCAGTCGGGCATCTCAGCCTGAGTCCTTAGGATATAATTATGTTATACTTGTAGGTGTATGGTTAGGGTGTTTCACCGGGTAGAGGCGACGGTTTCAAATAGGACACAGGTTGCAAACCGGAACGGACTCAATATTCACTTTCTCTCTTGGTATTTTGATTAGAAAACATATGTCACAGTGAGACTACGATGTGTTATACTCCGAGCCAAAATTTCATGGCTCTGCGATGACCAGACGCGCCATACCAAGCAGGTGAGGTTTTGACGTGTTGCTTCGCACTGCGACTTGAGTTTTACGACTTTCGAAAAATCAACTTCTTGTCGCAGGTAAACAGCGGCTCGCCTCTTGCCAATAAAGCACCGCATACCAATCAAAACTAATGGAAGCACACACAAGGCTTATTGTTACCCTGTACTGGCCGTCGTGGAGCGATAGCAATTACCTAATTTCAGACCCAGAGTGAATTTGACGTGCACTCTAAAACGTGTCCGGTTTGGAGCCACTGTTAGCTGCTCCCGGCTAATGATGCCCCCTCACACCGGAACACAGGGGTTTTATATGATTGGATAATTTATAGAAGTATTCGATAAGAGTGTAGACAGAAGGAGAACAGGACAACGACAACTCAAGACTAGACTAGAACAGAACAGAACCTGGAGCATGCGCTCTTCTATGTGAGTGGCTCATTGCCAAGGGGAACGAGCGGGAAATACGAATAGTGAGTATTCAGGTCGTAGCATACATACACCTATTACACCACCTCTGATTTGAACTTTTTTGAAGCGAAAAATTTGGCAACTTGGAGGCAATGGGTCAACACAAAGGAGTGGCTCAGTTCGATTGACTCTGGCCCCAGAGCAAACTTCAACATGCCAGTTTCCTTCCACAAACATATTTCGAGTGAAAAATCAACGCTGATGATCGGTTTGGGTCTATACAAATTTGGCTGTCAAGGCGTTCCGGTATCGAACCGTCTACTCTACCAGAACACTGAGTTGTTGGCATAAGCCGGTAACTTTTGTCGAGCCTGTTTTAGGCTACCACCTCCTCCAAATATGCTAATATCTCTTGACTGTACAAAAGAGATGTGCCGAGCAGACACTTTCTTCATCTCTTGACTGCTTTGTGTGTTGTGTGTATGGGTACGTGTATCCAGCCATTCAACTGCAGTGCCAGTCTGGCTACCTGCCCTGCCTGCGTTCCAGTGGCTGTATCCTGCCATCACAGCGCTGCGACGGTGTTTGGTACGACTGTGCTGATGGCTCTGATGCACAGTACTGCCCAGGCAAGGTCACACCAGCTCCAGGTAAGCACCAGCAGCAGCACTCATAGTAGTACCATGACTTCTATTATTATTACTGGGTGCGACAGAGCTCTCGGCCATTGAAGAAAATGTTGAGTCACCTCCACCACCACACTGCGCTCTTTAGCCGACTAGACCCTCCTGCACACAACCATCACCATTGCGAGGACACTTCCGTAGACGATATTGATAAACTCCTTCAGACAGCTGTTTCGCTAATACATAGCTCATCAGTGAAGGTAGATATTGAATGATTAAAAATATAGACCAAACTGCTATTATATAGGGGGTTTCCACATACAAAACTGGCATAGCTGAGGTGATAACGCGGGAAAAGGAAAGTGTGAAGTACTGTTGACGCGCATTGGACATGCATGCAGCGTCGGATATTCGGCGCGGAAAATCAATCACTATTCAATGCAGAAATAACGTGCCAGAATCAGAGTACTATGTAGCTAGTAGTGAGAGTCTGTGTACTAGTATTGCAGTTGTCCGAGCGCCATGAAGGCCTGCGAACGCACCTCATGACCCGCCGACGTCGACAGCCACAGCAGCCCCTGGGGCATGACACTGTACTGCTCGCCCGTCGCGCCAAGACGCTTGGCAGTCACTAGGCTTCATGCCACCGATGTTGTCCGCAAGCTACCTTGTTATCTGCCCATCACCCACTGCCGCTGACACGCTGGGAGGCCCCGCGGCATTCGCCCAGTATATCGTCGTCAGAGCTGTGTCGACGGTACAATAACGCTGGTAGAAACAAACAGTTGGTCGTATGGTATTGCGTCCTCCGGATTGTCCCTTGACTCGTCTTGTCCCTCTTCTTGCTCTGACGCTTATGACTTCTATTACAAGCAAAATGTAGAGCTACTGTTGACCGCTATTCACTGCTGTATTAATTTTATTACTTTGCATGGCCATGTTGAGGCAGTCTTCGCATCAATTTCCTTTACACAATGCGTGTACTACAATGTATTCAAAACCAACGTCTGTGCCACGCACACATACGCAAACGTTTTAGGGATGAAACGAGTATATCGAATACTCGAGCGCTTGCTCGAAAATTCGAAAGGAGTGAGGACTCGTTTCGCAAAATACTCAAAGTATCTTATGCACAGTGTACTGTTTGCTTGTACATCAAGCATGTCTGTTACTCTGACCAATACTGATAACCCATGCAAGTGTGAAAGTATTACTTTTCCCTACTTACCAACAAAAGACGTAGTTCAGACTATTTCCTGCACTAGGCTGCATGCAAGACTACATGTGTATCAGGCGTAATACGTTCAGTGTTACGAGAGTGTGTGCAGTACATTGTTTTATGTTGTCAGTAAAATACTCGTACTCGCTCGAATACTCGCTCGTTTTTTCAAAGAGTACTCGAGTCCTCAATTTTGGCACTCGTTTCACCCCTAGGCACGCACTGAATGCCTGTGCTCTGTGCACTCTGTGCTTGTGCAGGTCAAACCGACTGCCGGGTCCTGTCGCCACCGGCACTGGGCTCAATGACCGTGAACGGCTTGATGTTCAGCAACATGACCACGTTTGTGTGCACATCTCCCTATGTCCTTATGGGCTCGGCCGTGCGTACTTGTGAAATCAACGGCCAGTGGAGCGGTGTGCAGCCAACTTGCGTCCGTAAGTACATGTACCAATGCTCGACTGGCTTGTATTATGCATTCCCGTTCATCACACCGCTCATACTGTCAAATGCTGCCTCTTCTCATTCACAATGGCATGGGTCACAGTAGATAGGCCTGGTGCAGGTATTGCCAGTTCCTTGCTTGCTGCAGTACAGTATGACATATTAACTTAGCTGGTAAGCAGTGCATGTGTGCATGGCAAGTGTTATTTTTGTCCATTGCTTCCCAACCCATGTGTAGTGACGACTGCTGCTCTGAGTGCGGCCAGTGACGACTGCTGCTCTGAGTGCGGCCAGTGACGAGCTAGTCAAGGACTCCGTCTCAGAACGCATGACACAAACGTGTAAGCCTAGTATTGCTGCATAATTAAGAGCAATTTCTCCTACTGCTAACTGCTGAACATGTTGTGTCCTTCACAACTAGTTTCTTTGTTCTAAGAAGTCTGCCTCTTTCATCGATTCGTGTTTACCTAGCTGCGTTACGCTATTAGTAGCCTATTACCTGTTGTGCAATGGGACTGGCCTAAAAGCTGCTCGCTCAACAGTTGTGTTGCATGGCATACTCGGAGCGAGAGACGGCAAGCCGCCTCGGCATATTTGCGGATAGAGCTTTTATTAGAAAGGAAAAGGACATATGGATACGAGTTAAGAGTAACTGTCCACCACTGTAACTAGCTACTACAGTAAAAAAAATGCAACAACTAGGCACAAAACTGACAGAGTGCTGAGACATTCGACGACCTGACTCCTAGCTTCAACACATCTCCGTAGCGCTAACCAACAGCCTTCCAACTTGGAAGGTTCAAGGTTGAAAGGAGTGACCAAAGAGGGGAAGGTAAGCGCAACGAAAATGAGCACAAGCTAGTAGTTAGCTACAGTCCCACAAGAACAAGAAATGTTGATTGTTACTGGACGATGACGAAACCAGTATTACCTTTCCCTCTTTGGTCTCTCCTTAACACTACGGAGATGTGTTGAAGCCAGGAGTCGGGTCGTCAAATGTTTTAGTGCCTGGTTGTTGCACTTTCTGACTGTATTTAGTATATAGTGACAGTTACTCTACACTCATATCCATACGTCCTTTTCCTTTCTACATTAATTTTATTATTGCCATATTGGCTCAACATCCGAGTTTCAAAGAGCTTTTAGTGGACGACTTAATCCATTTTCGGCAATACTTACAACGATCCAATCAGTCATATTGTAGATCAGGCTATGCTGTGGGTAAGTGTACTACTGGCCTTGTATGGCTTATTGTTTGCCAGCGAGTATTTAGCATCATCTACTAGTATTCACTCGTTTGACAGCCAAAGAGTATTTGTGTGGGAGGCTGGGAGTCTCGCACCTGACTTGGTCACGTTGCGCCTGAAGGTCACTAAGACGCGGCCATATACGGTGGAGCCGTCGCAGTTCCATCTACTGTCGACGAAACATGCCCGGTATTGGCTATTCCGGTACATGACAGCCCATGCCTGTAGCACCAAGCCTGTGTTCACTTTTGCCAAAGGGATCCACCTTACTCGGCCTTATTTAAATATGATACTCTGTCACGCTCTCAACTGTTATCAGGTTAGCTCCCGCTCCATGCCCATTGTTGGAGCGACAGTCCTGGAATCCAGAGTTGCAAGTGAGGTGGTGATACGGCAAGCAGACGGTGGTAAAGTACGGCTTAAAAGCTCTACATCTGGCAAGTGGCCGGCATACCACCCCAATGGACATCGGAACAGTACACGTAGAGTAGCATCTCTACGTGACAGGGTATGAGCGCAAGTGAGTTCTTATGCTCTATTAATGTGCATTGATTCTGTGACTATAGTTGGTGTACAGATCTCATCACATGTGCCTTAGGTGGGATTTGCTATTGTCACTGTAAAATTCAGCCCTAACAAACTGTGTGATGGATGAATTTGACTCCAAGTATCTGCTTTTGGGAATGCCATGTATGCATGTCTGGCGTTCCCGTTTTGCTGTTGTGGGGCTGTGTTCGTATCGGTGTGTTCCCGTTGAAGTTGACGGGGCACCACGTTAGTGGATTGTGCCTGTTTGAAGTTGCCAGGCCAATCCTGTAACGCACACCCGTTTGCTGATAATTGGGGACATGTTTGTTCATTTTGCTCGAGATTCACATGGCTGCGCCAGTTGCCTTGCGCGGATTAGACTGTTATCTGGCACTAGTTTTGATCTGTTTTATTCAGATTCAGATCAGCTATTGTTCCTATACGAGAAAATCTGTGGGTGCACATCCAATTCATTTGCAGATTTGCGTGCTTCTCCTGCAACGGGCGTTTACATGGTACATGGTGTGTGGGCGTATGTGTGGTGTGTTCATGCTGTACAGGCCAGTATTGCCAAGCACTGGGGACCTTTGGCAATCTGAAGAATGTTTTGTCCGAGAATCGATCCTTGGATCTGTGGCGTTGCAGTTGTGGTGCTCCCGACCCTCTTGCGAGATGGCCGCGGAGACTTGGCGAAAAGGTTCGAGACATATGGTATCTCAATATCTTCCACCACAATCAGTACATCAGCACCACCATCGAGTGTAGCGACATCAATAGAAGACGCACATGATATCATTCACCCTTACGGCCTTAGCGAAGACCCGGGAATACCTGAGAAGATGTTAGCCGCAACTTCACTGAAAAAGTCGTCGGTGACAACGGCACTCCATATTTTAGCTGCATGCAGTTAGGTCTCTCAACAAGTGTACCCAAAGTTTTCAAGCTAATACACAAGCAAATTCACTAGGGGCCGAGTATATTTTCCTACACCTCTCCCTGTTTGTTGTTGTTATTTCTGCATTCAAATTGTTTGTGTACCTGTACATTTATTACAGTAGAGCCACGCATCCACGGCTGTTGTTTCCAAGGGGTCAGGCTCGTCAGTTATACAAAACCTTTCAGCAATCTGGCCTTAGGCTTAGTTCCTTGACTTCTTGTACCACTTTCTTAGATGCACATCCCACTGGATAGTGAGCAATACGTGTGTAGCAGAATCTGTATTCCAGAAAAGCAGAGACTTGAGTCTATTGACACTGCGTTTCTTTTTAAAACGTTATTGGCTGTGGTGTTCCTAGAGGTATACACGTACATTCCTGGGTCCCACGGTCTGTGACGCCCGACTGTATTCGTGGTGCCTCAACAACTTTTAATTTTGTGCACTCGGGAAAACCTGCCTGAGGCTGTGAGGCTGCAGAGTGCTGGCTGTGTTTTGCTTTAAAAAACCATCAGGTCTCCCCAGATTTTCTAGTCTGGACCTGAATTTTGCCACTCTTCGGTTTCAAAACCTAGTGTGGTGGTGGAAAGCCTAGCAGTGTTGTGTGTGCATGTGTGTATTTTGTACAGTGCTGGCCAGAGAAATCCAACCTCGTTAATAAAGTAGCGCCGCGTTCGAGAGCACAGACCGGTCCAGTATGTTTACTACTAGGGCTGCGTAGCGCCCGGTGCAATTTTATTCATAAGGTTGGATTTCTTTGGCCAGCACTGTAGTTAGAAGTAGGTCCTCTAAGGTCCTCTGTTTGTGCGCAATTGTGGTCACAGTGGCAGTAGTGGGTGAGGGGTAGACTCAGTTACTACGAAGATTGCGTATACATGATGGTGCATACAGTCATGTAGTTGAATGTTACTTCGGGCTTAGACCCAGAGGTTCTTGCAATGATGACCCTGGGTTTATGTACATGTATCATTCAGCTACCGTTGTCACAATGGCACTAGTTGATAGAACACCTGTATAAGTACAGGCTGTATATCTAGCATTTTCCAAAATAGCACTCCGTACTTCGAGGCTGCAGCCGTTTTTGCATGCAACGTTGTATGTGTTGATCGGTTGACAGCATGTGACAAAGCCGAGGACACACTAGTGTATCAGGAGCACTGTTTTTTAACACAGTGCGTCCCCCGCCTTGTCATGTTAATTTATCAAACAAGGCTTACCTATACCAACATTATACATGTAGGGCTGTGCATGCTTTCAAAATTCTTCCTTGTTGAAGTAGAATACCGTGCTTGTGGGGGCTTTAGTAGTTCCTTTGCCAGATGTTCTATGCGTATCTCAATGACTTATCAGTTTCAGCACTCGGGCAAGGCACATTCGGGCCTACACATGTAGCCTACAATTCTGGCTTGGAGGCATTATTTATCTATTTTCATGGCTGCTAGGTTCATCCTTAGTTAAGAGTTATTTCTCCGTGATTCGCTGATGTGTCCACAAAGGACGAAACAGCTAGAAAGTACTAGTGCTGTCCCCAGATCGTGTATTCTAAATCCATAATACTGACGCTCAATCTCCAGACAGCTGTTTCAGCCTTTTTAGGTCCCATCAGTGGAGCTCAGAGCGGGAGGTTAAACAAATGGCAATACGGTCTATATGAAATGAACAAAAAAAGCAATTTGAAAATGGCTCAAAGCATCAAAGTCAGCGAGCTATCTGCAAGACACGCACAAAGAGAGCTTTGCACGAAGGCAGATACATATTACATACACCTTTGACACTAACCGAAAAGAGTGCTCAATCAAGTCAACGCAAGGCAGCGTAATGCGGTGATCGAGTCTATAAAAAGCTATAGTGACATGTAGCCAGGTCCCCAGCACAATAAGCTGACTTGCATCATGCTAAAATCGTTCACACAAATCTCTTATAATAATTATAATAATTATAGATTGTAGGATAGGGTGGTTGCACCAGGAAGTGCTGTCTCTGCGATAGTGGAACCAGCCAAGATTGCAGTACAGTCGTCCACCATCAATCCAGCACTTCATTGGCCCACGCCCTCGATACACCAGCATGATTTCCGGAGTTATTACCATTCATTGACACATGCCCCCCCCCCCCAGTTCTTCGGCAATTGACCCGAGTTCTATTTGGGCCGCACTACTTTGTAGCAGTCATACTATAGTACTAGAACTGGATGCACGTGATATCCACTGGAGCTGGCGCTGGCCATGAGCTGACCCACCGCCGTGCCTCCCAGTGTCAATTTTGCTTATGTGATCCTACCACAATCTGGAACATTATCAGTACTCGCCTCTGTTGACTTGCCAGCACTAGTTCTGGTGGATCCGGGCATGTTTCTGCCTTCTCTTCAGCATGTATTCTCCTGCAGGTGCATCTTTCACCTCCTTCTAATGCGCGAGGACATTTTCTGTGGAGATTCAACGAAACATACACCAGAAAATACAGAACGGAACAGTGGCTGCCAATGCGACACAAGTACCACATAGACCTAACAACTCATAAGTACCCTGGGAGTTAGATGCATTTACGGGCAGTATGCCAGGATTTGCGCAGCTAATTTAGAATCAGATTAGCAATGCTGTGTGCTACCTAGGCGGCATCTTGGACTCAAAAACCAACCGATTGTGGTCCAACCCAACCGACAGCGTTGTCGGTGGGTTCCGATTGGCAGGTGTTGGATGGACGTATGATCTATGCGTCCCCACAAGTAATGAGAAGTTAACAATGCCACTAAGGATATATCGCGGACAGCAGTACAATGAAACTGGGCCATTCATTATCAGCAATATCAGGGGTATATCCCATCCGATAAGACGTACAGCTCGTGTATGGCGGACTTTACAGCAGGTCCCGACATAGCTTGCCCCGTGCCCTTTACCACTCCTGGGCCAAAACTGTTGTACAATATTCGAGAGGGTCTAGCCTAGTGAGTGTGAACAGAACCTGGCAAACCATATCTCCAAGTGATTCACATGTTGGTATATTCTCCGTTATCTTACATCAATTCCCAGCAATTTGACACCCGAATATTCTCGCACCACTACTGCTGAAGTACTGACCACAAACCATGTTCCATTTGACTTACAAACGGAACTTGCAAAAGGCATGAGAGCACTGGAATCTGTAAAGACTCTCGCATTACTTACAATTTATTAGCCACCATACATACCTTTCGGGAAGTCGTGTTGGAAGCAGAATGCTCGGAGAGCAGAGCTGAGTGAGATCTGCATACAGTAACACAGCGGCAATGAATCACATGAACAGAAGGAAGCAGTCGTATCCGTACACATCTGAATATGCGCTTATGGGAGGAAAATCCGTGCGACAAAAGAGGACCGCGTTATGCAGGTGTATGTCTTACCCGGGTACGTACTAAATGAGTTCCACCGTACGTATATAATTGTATTGCAATTGAATCACTTGACTGACTGGAGCCAAAAATATCAATTGGCACTTACTCCGGTTACCCGAATGTTTCGGTACCACTATCATTAGGTTTGTTGCAATCGAACCAAGTCATAGTTGAGTCATTTTCAATGCGTTAGGTGTTACCTGACGTGCCCACTGCATCAGCCGCTATATCATATTCCACCAGGCATGCACCAAACCAGGCGCAATGCGCACACTGATGATGGTGGTTGTCACACAACGAGCAGTAGTAAAAGTGAAAGGACTTTTTGCATGTGATTTTGTTGTAATTTGTGCCAGTCGAATTGTCTCAGTGTAACTAGTTTATCGTTAGCTTACTAGTTTGGTTATACAAATGAGAAAGACCAAGGAACTACAAGTTACGCTATACTGTCCACTAACACCACCAGTTACTAAACAATCAGCTCATGCGATAGCATTACACGACACTGAACAGCTCTAGCACATCTTGGATGCGCACTCCAACAGCCTTGTGGACGACGACCGTCATTGGAGAATCGGTCCGTCGCTCCACCAGCCCGGCGGCACAGTGGACAGTGCCTTGGGGGTGTCAGGCATGGATCAGGCTGATAAGGACGTGGTGGAGACGGAAATGATGTTTGCAAGGAAGAGTGATGATATGCGTATGTGCTCTCCGCCAGTTGTTGAAGCAACAGTCCGGCAGTGGAAAGTCGGCAAGGTTAAAATAAGTGACCAACTGGGTGAAAGTACACCAAATGTGGCCCATCTCTTGAATGGTGCGGACCACGGCAAGGACCTGAAGTTGAAGGTCGTCAATGGCAACACCGCATGGTCGACGTCAATGTGAACATCAAGCCATCAAGTTGGTGGAACTATGGAATGTCCGTCGCAGGCTGCAGCGACAGGGTAACGTGCTCAGGGAAGAGTACAGCGACGATGATCAGCTGTGTCTTGCACGCAGTCGTGTTGATCGTGGCGTGCAGAACAACAGAGTCAGTTGCGGTATTCGTACATTTGTCTGTTTAGGATTGTGATCCCCAGGAAGTCCTTTGGTGAGGAGTGATGTCACGCAACGAGCAGGAGTCAAAGTGAAAGGACTTCTTGCATGTGATTTTGTTGTAATTTTGTAAGGTGTGGTGGCAGAACGTTCAGCTGGTAGTGGGTGATGGGCTGGCGGTGTGACAACAATTACGGGCTTGACGAACGACATAATTATGGCGAGTCGATCTTTGGCCAGTTGCTGAGTTGGAGATCGTCACCGTAGACCCAGAGATCTGGTCCACGGTCCAGGGGTTGGGATCCCACTGTGGTGAGAGCTTGTGTGCCTGCTCATTGCGGCGTAAGACGCGCTGACCAGGAGTGAGGATGGGGGCGTTTGACCGGCGGTTGGCATTGGCAGCATCGCACTGGGATTGGCGGAATTGCTGGTCACGGTGGGCAGCTGAAGGCAAGTCTGGTGCGGCTGCCGTAATGCAGGGTATACTGTCGCGGATGGGGCGACCAAACATGAGTGTTGCCGGTGCCTCGTGAGTGGCAGGGTGTGGCGTGGTGCGGTACGCTAGGAGCCATTGGTCTAATGCAACATTGATGTCTTCGCCAGCTAGTTTGGCAGTTCGCAGAACTTTGCCAATGGTACGGTTGAGGCACTCGACTGCTCCGTTTGCTTGTGGCCACAAAGGAGGGGTGTGGCGGTGCTGGATAGCGTGTTGCGTGAGGAAATCAGCAAAAGCCGAAGAACGGAACTGAGGACTGTTGTCCGAGACTAGCTCTTCGGGCAAGCCGAACATGGATAATGTAGAGCGCAGAGCTTTAACAACACCGGCCGTAGTGGGTGTCGTGCTGAACACGTTGATGACCGGGTAGCGAGTCAACTGGTCGATAGTGGCAAGCAGGTGCTGACCGTTTGGCATGGGTCCATACAAATCGACGAAGACTCGTTGCCACGGCTTGGTGGACGGTGGTGTGGGCACGGACTCCCGGAAGTAGCGGTGTCGTTGAGAGAGTTGCTTGGCACGGAATACATTGCCGGCAGAGTGCTTCGGCTTCAGTAGCCATGTTGGGCCACCAAACCTTGCTGTTGAGCCGTTGCTTGGTGCGGACAATATCTTGGTGGCCCGCATGTGTAAGCTGCAGGGTAAGCCGTTGGAGGGCCGTGGGAATGACGAGACGGTCGTTGCGGAGTAGTAGACCGTCACTCTCAGACAGTTCATGGCGGAGGGCAAAGTACGGGCGGACCGTGGTGTGGTTGGAATCCCAGCGGCCAGATTGCAGAGAGGAAAGGATGGCTTGCAGTGTGGGGTCTGCGGTGGTGGCGTCCGCAATCTCCTTCAGAGCCAACGCATTCGGCTTAGCTGCTGTAGCTAGGGCATGTATGTACGCAGTGTCTTCCTGTGCGCCGATGTTTGGCAAGTCGGGATGAGGCTGCGGATTGCGACTGACGACGTCGGCCGGGTGTTCTGGGCCAGGCTTGTACTGGAGCTGGAAGCTGAGATCCTGCAGGCGGAGGACCATGCGCTCAATTCGTGGCGGAGGTCTTGATCCGACGGCCATGAGTTGCAGGAGCGGCTTGTGGTCAGTGACAACGGTGAACTGTGGATCACCTTGTCAAGTAGTGGTGAAAGCGAAGGCAGCCAAACTTGACACCCAATGCTTCCCGTTCAGTTTGAGAATATTGCTGCTCGACGCCGGAGAGTGCACGGCTGGCGAATGCTACAGGTGCATCGTGGCCGTTGTCTTGGCATTGACACAGGATTGCGCCGAGGCCGGTGGGCGATGCGTCGACATACAGTGATGTGTATCGCTTGCGGTCAAAGTATTGCAGCATGCAGTCTTCGGCGATGGCCTTCTTCAGTGCATCAAATGATTGCTGCTCATCAGTTCAACGCCAAACAGTACCTTTCTTAGTGAGAGCAGGGAGTGGCGTGATGAGATCGGCCATGTTACGAATGTAACGGCGGAGGAAGTTGGTGAGACCCAGGAAACTCTGTATGTCGCTGACGCAAGATGGCGTAGAGAATGTAGCCACAGACTGCTGGTGGCTGGGAGAGGCGCGGATGCCCTTGTCGGAGTAGACGCTAGCCATGAACTTGAGCCGAGGCTTGAGGATGTGACATTTGTGACATTTGGCTCGGTTGAGTGTAACGTTGTGATCTTGCAGCCGCTGGAGGCAGGCGGCGAGTCGTCGGTTGTGCTCTTCGACGCTCTTACCAAAGTTGAAGATGTTGTCGTGGACGTTCTTCACACCGTCGAGGCCAGCGAGCCATGGCGTCCAGTGTGCGCTGTAGGATCTCGGATGCGGACGATACGCCCATGGGCAGACGTTTACAGTGCAAAACTGCGTAGCGACGTGACTCAGGGTGGCCTGGCTCTCCACAGCGGTAGCAGAGCGATGTGCTGGATTCCCGCTGGCCTGGAGCGCGAGTGGCGACTGGGGCAGGTGGCTGGTGGTACGAGTTTGCAGCTGGATGTGGCGAAGACTGCATCGGTCGACGCGACGGAGTTGAAACAGTAGTAGGAGGCGGCTGTGTCCTTTTGTAGAACGGTGGCTGATGACGGAGGGCATTGATCGAGTCTTGTGTGCGCCGGAACGCCGTCGTCTGTTCCACTGACGCTTCAAATGCTCTGGCGGCCTTGAGCGCCTTGGCGAGATCAAGGGACGCAGTCTCCAGCAGTTTTCTGCGGAGTGGATTGGACGTGCATCCTGCCACAATTTGATCACAGAGAGCCACGTTCTTCTGGGCATCGTCGGCGAAGCTGCAGGTCGTTGCCGATGCCAGCAAACGAGTATAAAACGTGTCTAACGTTTCGCCAGGCTGCTGGGTGACCTGCCGGAAGTGGAAGCGGGCCATTCTGGGGCTCTGCTTCGACTGAAAGTAGTCGGCGGCGGCGGTTATGAGGCCGTCGAGATCGTTGCCAGTGTTGGCTAACGTAGGGACAAGCTGCTGGATGTCCTTGCCGGCCACATACTGGAAAGTGTCTCTCTGGCGAGTGTCATCCGAGATGCCGGCTGCTGCAACATAGATTTGGAAACACCGTTCCCAGGCAGGAAAATGGGCAGCAGCGTCGTAGAGACTGCTGTAGATCGGGAATGGCTCCGGAGGCGGTAGTGACAGTAGGGACATGGCGAGGATCAGGCGTTTGCCCGCAGCGCTAATGTAATGTTGTTCTCTTGCTGTATTCCAAACAACAACTAACTCGGAGCTCCGGAAAGCTCCGCAATAGTGAGGTTTTGCATTCCGAATTTCGGCTCGGCGTTCTTTGGTCATTTGTCGAACATCAAAATGTCGAATTTTCGCACCGACGTTTGTTTTGCAAGTCGAAAATGATGTGTTTTGATTTCGTGAGCCCCAGCATCAGCAATGTCCTGTCCCGTGCTCCTTTTCTTGCTGATTCCGACAAACTTTGATCGCGCCCAAAGAGTCGAGGGCCAAACCTGCCTCCTCAGTCGCCTCAGAAAAACCAACTCCATGGCCAAGTCAAATTTTATGGGTATCGCCATAGTCTTTTCAGCCACACAGATGACGGTGAGGACATTCCAGGTGAAAGAGAGTAGACAGGCAGTGGAGAGGAGCAATCAGAGGTAGCTGACGATGCTGATGTCGTCAAAGACGCCTGCGAAGCCATGCCAAGATAAGAAACCTCTTTGAATAAATCACGCGCTAGCGCTCTTCCACAAGAAAAATCATCCGAAAAATATGTTCGGCTAAGTGAGCTTTTTCCGAACAAACATGCCGCATCTTCGTGTGCATTTTCGACCTCGCTCCCGCGTGCCGAATCTTTTGCCGAATTTCGGAATGCAAAAACCTCACTAATAGTGAGGTTTTGCATTCCGAATTTCGGTTCGGCGCTCTTCGGTCATTTGTCGAACATCAAAATGTCGAATTTTCGGACCAACGTTTGTTTTGCAAGTCGAAAATGATGTGTTTTCATTTCGTGAGCCCTAGCATCAGCAATGTCCTGTCCCGTGCTCCTTTTCTTGCTGATTCCGACAAACTTTGATCGCGCCCAAAGAGTCGAGGGCCAAACCTACCTCCTCAGTCGCCTCAGAAAAACCAACTCCATGGCCAAGTCAAATTTTATGGGTATCGCCATAGTCTTTTCAGCCACACAGATGACGGTGAGGACATTCCAGGCGAAAGAGAGTAGACAGGCAGTGGAGAGGAGCAATCAGAGGTAGCTGACGATGCTGATGTCGTCAAAGACGCCTGCGAAGCCATGCCAAGATAAGGAACCTCTTTGAATAAATCACGCGCTAGCGCTCTTCCACAAGAAAAATCATCCGAAAAATATGTTCGGCAAAGTGAGCTTTTTCCGAACAAACATGCCGCATCTTCGTGTGCATTTTCGACCTCGCTCCCGCGTGCCGAATCTTTTGCCGAATTTCGGAATGCAAAACCTCACTAATAGTGAGGTTTTGCATTCCGAATTTCGGTTCGGCGCTCTTCGGTCATTTGTCGAACATCAAAATGTCGAATTTTCGGACCAACGTTTGTTTTGCAAGTCGAAAATGATGTGTTTTCATTTCGTGAGCCCTAGCATCAGCAACGTCCTGTACCGTGCTCCTATTCTTGCTGATTCCAACGAACTTTGATCGCCCTAAGAGCCGAGGGCCAAATCTGTCTCCTCAGTCGCCTCAGAAAAACCAACTCCATGGCCAAATCAAATTTTATGAGTATCGCCATAGTCTTTTCAGCCACACAGATGACGGTGAGGACACTCCAGGCGAAAGAGAGGAGACAAGCAGTGGAGGAGCAATCAGAGGTAGCTGACGACGCTGATGTCGCCTGGGAAGCGATGCCGAGATAAGAAACCTCTTTGAATAAAAATCACGCTCTAGCGCTCTTCTACAGAAAATTCATCCGAAAAATATTTTCGGCAAAGTGAGCTTTTTCCGAACAAACATGCCGAATCTTCGCGTGCATTTTCGACCTCGCTCCCGCGTGCCGAATCTTTTTGCCGAATTTCGGAATGCAAAACCTCGCTAGTATGATGCCAACAGAATGTAATGGTGTGCGTGCATGCGTACAGAGTCGGTGCGTACCGACTGTCAGCACAGGTGTGGAAAGCAGCATATGTAAATGGATAGGAGCACAAACGGTGCCGCGTGCATATATGTGTCGGTAGAGCATGAGACTCTTAATCTCAGGGTCGTGGGTTTGAGCCCCACGTTGGGCGCCAAATGTCGTCTCGGTTGGAGAACGAGCTGCCTCTACTATACCCTCGCCACGTCACACATCAAACGGACTAGTCAAGTGTTTTTTTCTCTAGAGCTAGAGAGAGAGCTATTCATTACTACACTTCAGGAGACGACGGGAGAACTGACAACTGACATGGCGAAAGGAAACATGATATCGGAAAGTGGTGCCCTCATCAGCACAAAAAGTGGCGTACTCGATATCATATCAGCACAAAAAGGTGCACGTGTCAGCAATACAACAAAGCAGCGCAGCAGCATGTACGGGTCAGCAGCACAGAGACACAAATACAGCAGCAGGTACGACAAAGAGACAACACGTGCAGCCACATGTACAACATAATTATGGGTGTGACAGTCCATATATGTACGTGTGAACACTACACACGATGAGAACATGCAAAGTATGGAGACCCAGACTGTGTGGTCAGCAGGACACAGTCCGTACAGGATGGAACAGACAACTAAACGTAATATAGCACCACGTACCGGCGGACTAGTCGACGCTGATGGGAGAAGTGGCACCCCCTGAGGCAGCTACGGATGCTAGAACTCTACAGCCAGACCAACACCAATATAAAACAAAAAGGTACACCACACCAGGAAGCAAGTCAAATAAAGATGTGTGAACAACAGCCACACACCACAGAAAAGCATACAGAACAAAAACTCAATTACCGACACCATAGACACTGCAAAATCCAAACGGGAGGAAAATGCTAACTCCCTGAGGACACTGAGCATGAGGCAAACGAGCAAGCAACCTCTTGCCGATGTTCCACCGTGTAACAACAACCGCGCTGGCCACCGGACTGTATGGTAGGGGTATTACACCTGGACCTCAAGACCAACGGGCGAAGGACAGCAGGCCGGGCCCAGGTAAATACAATGAGGAGCACTGTATACAACTACAGAAATAACCCAAACCCATGCCAATTTGACCAACATACCTTCCCTGCGCATCCATTCCTAGTGTACGGGTCTGAAAGATGAAAGATGGAGCGCTTGTATACACGGGCCCGGAAAGCCTGCTTCGGCCGCTCGGCAGCAGCTTCGTAGTGGTGGTCAAGGGTCGAAGACCGACGGATACGGATCAACTCCCCAGTGAACACACCTTTGCCCATACTACAGGGGTGGTTACTACCGACAAGCAGATACAGGAAATGATTGGTGAACTTGAAATGAGGATTCACCGCCATGTATCCCTTAGTACGGAAAACTGTGGTGTCCAGGAAATCAATGCCATCATGTGCCAGTTCATGAGAAAACTTGAGGGCCGAACACTTATTAATCCTATCTAAAGTGCGCTGAACTTGACCTTCGCAACCATGGAATGATAAAGCGTCTATAAACCTGAACATCTAAACCCTCCCCCTCTAAGATCGGCAAAACGTACCGATTCTCCAAATACAGCATAACAATGTCGGCATACTGTAAGACATGTATATATAACGAGGAAGTAAATCTAACGTTTTAACGGATGACATTTCTTCGTTATAATAAGATCCGTTGAGGCCGTACTGCTTCATATATGTTGTGTGTGGATATGGCAAAATACTGCAAGATCGTTAACATGTCTTCTCGTTAACCTATGAATTTTGGACAATCGTTAAATTTGCGACTCGTTATAATAACAGGTCTTACAGTAGACCACTGCTGCAGGCGAACCCATGGCAGTCCCTTGGATCTGCCGAAACACATCGTTACCATACACAAACTCATTTTTCTTCCGAATGACTGACATCAAGGAAGTCACTGCTGTTAATAACCATGTACGAAGGGCGAGGGGCATCCACCTTGTACACCTGTGTGTGATATACCACGACAACCGAGCTCGTTGGGGATGTTGGTGTAGTAAAGGCTGGTCACATCTATACTCAATTATAAATGATCGTCCCGCACAGGCAAACCTTCTACCAAGTTGATGAAATCCGCAGTTGAGGTCAGAACAGTACTTTCCTCACATACATACGGGTTCCGTAGAAAGTCAGTGAACTCAGCGGGATAGTAGCCAGGACTATTTAGATTAACAATAGGCCTAACCTTCAGGACCCAGGGCTTATGTGTTTTGAGAAGTCTCCTGAAAACGGGCATGCGCCCCCGGTGCGACTAAGAACAGTGACATATATTAGTGGGCATACGATGCTCAATGCGATGCCTAGTCATGGCGAGTAAACGATTGACTCGGGTCGCTCACACGAAGTCTCAACACAGCCTTGAGCCTGTTGGTTGCCATCGGCAGTCTAGCCGCATGCTCATCTAGCCCATCAGGCAAAAAAACAGTCATTTATAATGTTTGGCATTGTGATGCTGGGTACGACCTATATCATCATAGTGAGATCAGTCCAGGACTACTATCACAATAGACTGCCTTTGAATGTGCCCGAGTCCGATCGCGTTCTAGCTCCCAAACTATGTGCTGCACGTGTACACTCCGCCTATGGTTAGTCTACTCCAGAACAACGCCTGGAGAGGTTCATTGGGCCGGGGCATGATGTCCCCCCACCCCATTCCCCCCCCCCCCCCTGCACCTGAAGTACCGGTATTGCCCCCCCCCCCCTCCCCAAACAAATTACAGGACACAGATGGAGCACTGGGGAGCACGTAGCAGTAGGCAAAGTTGACGATGCCAGTGCAGACACGGCCTGACCTCGGTCACCACACTGGCACCGTAAAGTCTCCAAGGGACATAGCTACCAGAGAACACACAGAATGGGAGTATATAGTGCTATCCCGGTGGATAGACAACCCCCTATACACAAAATATCTACTGATAGAGTTCTGTGTAGACCCTATGTGCACATATGTGTGGATGAGTACTGGTAAATGGACAGCTAACCCTAGTCTAAATAAAATAAAGGTAGAATGTAGACCCTGGGCAAAAAAATAAGTAAATAAAAATATTGACTAGTTTGAGGGAAAGACACAAACGGGAAAAGTCTGAAGAAAAAATTGACTGTCACCAAAAAAATAATAATAGCTACACACACGAGGGAACTCGGATGGAGAGCCAAGGATTAAAATTGAAAAAGAGGACCATCAGTTTACGAGTTATCCGTTTTGTCCAACACTTACGGATATAAACGTGATGCAGCTAAGCATCAGGTCGTTGAATGTCAGGATCTCATCAGTCAGTTTTCAAAAAGTCACTGCCGGAGGCGGAATTCAAGTGCCGGATTAAGATGTAGGAATTGAACGAAAAAAATTGGTTTCGTCAGAAAGTGCGCCGGTTGGCAAGGGTTCCGGATAAACAAGTGCCGGATTAGAGAGGGACGACTGTACCTAGCAATAAGTGTGCAGAGTGTGCAGCCCAAGGATAATCATCCCACGGCAAAGTTTATTGTTTAGGGCATAGACTCACAGTAACAGGCTCACCTTTGCTGCATCTCACACCGCTTCACACGGTAATCTACTGTATCACCATGGTAATTTCTGTTGCACATTGCTGCTTGTTTAACAAAAGGCAGAAAACACACCGAATTTCCAGGAATTACCATGGTGATACGGTACTTTAGCTTGAACCTATTGTATGACGGGTTTTCTATGATTCATAATGACCCAGAGAGAAACAAACCGGTATCGAATTCCAGTCAGCGACGCAATTCTTCTGAGGTGTAAAGTGACTTCAAGAATATGTTGCAGAAAACTGCGATGCATGCTGATTATTTACTGTGCCCTATTGTGCACCATATACCAGGTGTGTTACTCAGGGATGAAGTAGATGCACACAAGTACCGTGCATCACGGCACAGGTTAGGTTTGCTCCTAGCTGCTACAGTGTACTTGTGGTCCGAACTTGCACTCTACTCAGCTCTGCATACGCAAAGAGTGCTGGTGCCGAAATGAACCAGAAGGGTGCTGAGTGGGACGCAACAACACTGACTCTGTCTACCCATGTACACAGATATGATAGGGTATGCAGTACCTGCTCTAAGATTTAACACAAACCGGGTACACGTCTACCTGGCACAACTCCTGCAACACTGGGCCAGAGCCAGATGCGTTCAAGTGCGGCTACTGTGTGTCAGGGAGTCGTAAACTTACTTTCGACTTCCTGATGTACATGATTGTACATGTACATGTATGAACGTACTCGCACTGGGCACTCTGGCCGCACGCATCTGCACGCGTATGCAGCCTGTCAGTGGCGGTATACCCTCGAAGTATAAAAAAGTATAGTACTCGACAGGACTTCCGACCGGGTCTCAGGTAACCCAGTGTTCTTTTTCCAAAAGGTCCAAGTACTCACGAACAGGGTCACTGACCTGGCTCTGGAGCAGACACTGGTAATCTAGGTCCAAGTTTGCTCGATTATGTTCTGACGCTTCATGTGCTTTCATAGCCAAGGTTTCTCACTTTCTTCGCAAGCTCTTTTAGTCTTGAGAGTTGACAACTGCTTATGGTTGTGTTGGCAGAAAACATGTCAACTAATCTGACAACCGTCCAACCCCATTTTACTGGTAAGTAGTCAGCGAGTGGCTTTGATGGGGCCATACTAGAGGGGAAGTTACGCGGCATATTTGTGCTTCCTTTTTGAAAACACGTTCTCGCTCGAAGGGTTTCTAAACTTTATCCCTGCGCTCATTGATGGAGTTCATCGATGGAGTTGCCAGCGGCACTCTACAGAAGAACAATGTTGTCAAGTTTTTTATGAAAAATTGTCAAACATTTTCAAATTGCTATAAGTTTGGTTAGGGTCGGGTTCCACTGCGGCTCCGCAGCTCCGCTGCTCCACGGTACTTGGCTGCATGCAGCAGAGCGGCGCGGTTCCAGTGACACTCGCCATTCACGGTACCGCGATCGTGCTCGACGTTTTTTGATGACATTTAGCCTGCCTGCGCGCGTGTGAAATCCAAAAATATCCTCGTGTTCTGGCCTGTGCAACGAATTAAAATTCCCCCGAATAAAACAATTAAGTGCGGGAAACAATGCAAGCCGTGGCCTCGCTGGACCAGCTCGTAATGATGACGTTTCATGCCGTGGATGATGTGCGGCGGAGCGGCAGTGGAACGCAGCCCTTAGGCAAAGGAAATTTGTCATTAATTTGTTTATGCTGCATAGATGGAGAGCTGCACACTCTGGCTTATGGACTCTCGCCTACAGTGTAGTCGTACTGCTAGTGTACTGGCATTACAGAAGACACGAAAAACGAGAACATAATTATGGCGAGAAAGTAATTACTGGCTAAGAATTGCCCTAAGACTTACCGCTTCTCAGTGCTCCATACCAGGAAGTAGTACAATAGTTATTATTCCTACTCCCTGCTCCATACGAGTGTTTTCTCCTCATTCTCTGCATCCTTTACCCCAGGAGTCTCGTCCATTTAGCGGCTCAAATGCTTGAGCTCCGGATAGCGGAAAATAGCTCGTCGTCCATTAGTGGCTCTAATAGTACCTGGTCTGAAGTGTCGCAGTCTAGCAACTATGATTTTTTCCAGGAGGGTAAGGGTTGCAAACCCAAAGAGACCCTAAGCTTCGTCTATCAAACAAAACAATTGCCCTAAAAAATGGAAGAGGAAAAGAGTGAGCGAGCTGGTCTGAGCGCGCTACTTTTCAAAAAATAGAAGCCGAAAGCCATCAAAGTCAAAGCATTCTGGCTAGCGCGTTTGTGTATGTCACGAGCGCTAGCGCGCTAGTCGCAGCAAACGCTCGCAGGCCAGAGTTAGCGCTATTTGGGCTGTTTGCCGCACGCGGCAGCTGGATGGATCACGTGATCCAAGCTGACAAATAAGGTCCGATGGTTCAGCTACATTGAGCCACAAGCATCCGGAACCTGTGTTTGACCGAATTGCGCGAAGCCGATCGATCCTAGCCCTGTACAAATTATTGCAAAGAAAAACGTGTGATGCGTTGACACCCGTACACATGTTGTAAATCACTGGTGCAAGGAGCATTGCGTCATAAATAATGACGTCAACTTGAAATTCTGTCGGGACAGCAGGGTATGTGGGACTGAGTTGCACACTCTGGGGGGTTATGTACTCTTGGTATACATGTAGAGTTGTAGACCCAAACCGATCATCAGCGTTGATTTTTCACTCGAAATATGTTTGTGGAAGGAAACTGGCATGTTGAAGTTTGCTCTGGGCCAGAGTCAATCGAACTGAGCCACTCCTTTGTGTTGACCCATTGCCTCCAAGTTGCCCAATTTTTCGCTTCAAAAAAGTACAAATCAGAGGTGGCTCCAAACCGGACACGTTTTAGAGTGCACGTCAAATTCACTCTGGGTCTGAAATTAGGTAATTGCTATCGCTCCACGACGGCCAGTACTCGTACAGAGTAACAATAAGCCTTGTGTGTGCTTCCATTAGTTTTGATTGGTATGCGGTGCTTTATTGGCGAGAGGTGAGCCGCTGTTTACCTGCGACAATAAGTTGATTTTTCGAAAGTCGTAAAACTCAAGTCGCAGTGCGAAGCAACACGTCAAAAACTCACCTGCTTGATACGGCGCTTCTGGTCATCGCAGAGCCATGAAATTTTGGCTCGGAGTATAACACATCGTAGTCTCACTGTGACATATGTTTTTAATCAAAATACCAAGAGAGAAAGTGAATATTGAGTCCGTTCCGGTTTGCAACCTATGTCCTATTTGAAACCGTCCCCTCTACATGGTAGACCGTACCTACGACAGGCTACGTAACGACGGTTACGTAGCTAGCTACGTAGACTCTACGTGTAGTGTGCCGTTGCCATAGTGGCGAATCAAACTGACGCTCTCAAGTCTCATCGCGGTGAACCAGAACCGTGTGCTAGAGAAGAGTGTTGTGACAGTGATGTTACCCAGTACTACTAAGACTAAGTACTACTAGTCTATGGTCTGTCGACGCGCTTGATGCTCAGTCAAACGCTAGCAAGGGCGATATTATTATCGACCTGTTGAGAGTGTCCCGTTGAATTTCAAACATTGCAATATTTTGATCCAAACCCTAGCCTAGGCGGTGGCTAGCTCATTTTGTCTTCGTGGCCATCGCCTGTGTTGCTTGTGCACACAGTTTGCCGGGCAGTCCGTCGTATCTCGTATATGTATTCCACGGTTTGGCAATCACTGATTCTGTGTTCGGAAAATTCGTTCATTTGCTAAGCCCTTGACTGCATTGGCTAGCGCTAGCGGAACGATACCCTCAGCGTCTTGTAGACCATTGCTCCTACGTGGCCGTCATGTTTCGGCCGGAAAGTTCCGATTCAGACGATGGCGATGGCGACACTCCAGGTACGTATGATGATGTGGTGGTGATGTATGTGCGCGCGTGCGCGTGTGTGTCTGTGTGTGCGCGTGTGTGTCCCATATGATGCAGTGGTATGTGCAGTTGATTTCCAATCGAGAGGTTGCGGGTTCAATTCCCGACGATTATGGTCGCACACGTCTTTCTTCTCTTTCTCATTCCCCTAGCTCTTCTTTCATTCTCCTGGGTGGTTACCAACATCCAGTGCATGACGGAGTATGTAGTGTGGTGTGCAGGGGCGTGCTCGGCTCCCCTTAGCCTTGCTTCCAGGGGGGTGCACAACTAAGACAACAGCAATTATTTTCATAAGGTTGTACCGGTGACATTATCAGATATTTGTACATATGACGTCATTATTCCCGTAGCTATGCAGAAGACGTTACTTCAGTAACGTCTGGCGCTAGCCAGGGTCCACACAGCTTTAATTTGGTGTTTGTTTGTGTGTTTGTTTGTTTGTGTCACGCCTGGCGCTATCCCGTATCTGTCCCGTACTGTACCGTACCAGCAAAGACAGCTGGCCACAATATTTTTGATTGTTTGTGCCATCGACATGCCTGGCGCTATCCCGTACCTGTCCCGTACCATCAAGAGTACGGTACCATCAAGAGAATGAGTATATATGCGAAGGGTATGGGGGGAATGCATTCAGTGCAGTACCATTAAATTTTGTGTGGATTTGTGTGCGAGGCCGAGATCCCACTAGCAGGCTGGCTGGGCCGCCTGTCGACCAGCCCGAGAATCGCATGTAGGCCGATAGCATAATAATTATAACGTATAGACCTTATTCGATAAACGTCACAGTCACGTGAACCGGGGTCCCGGGATCCAGGGAGTGGCAAGAGATCTGCGCTCAGTGCACAGTGGACTCTGTGTGCGAACATAGGAGTAGATAAATACCGGTATTTTACTACTCTTTTGTACAAACTGGGCCTTTCTTGCCACTCGTTTCTCGTACGCGTGCCCTAGCTTATGACAAATCCCTGGAGGCGAGTCCAAAAGTCACGTTATCGAATAAGGTCTATATACAGTCATGTAGATGTATAGCAGGGAGTCATATTATGTAAACGACTCCCTGCTGTATGGGGAGATTTTCTGGAAAGAAATACGAAGTAGGGAGACGAGTAAATGCGATCAGAATGGATGTTAGTTGCCGTCAGTATAATAATAATAAGAAGAAGAAGAACGCCCGTGATCGGCAGAGTCAGCGCCGGTCCCAGAAAACGTCAGGACAGAGATCCCGTCGACTCCAGAACGTCCGTGTTCGGCAGAGTCAGCGCCGGTCCCATAGCTATGCAGAAGACGTTACTTGTACTTCAGTATCTCATTGAAACGTTTTTGCAATACAATGATGTAGCTAATCAAAGGAAAAAGCATTTCCATCAGTTCTAACAACATGCGCGATGAGCTAGGCAACAAAGCATAGCGCAGGGCCCTGAGCTTCCAAGCTCTCTCGTTACTGTTACAAAGATTGTATGTCATCAAGAATGAACACAGTACAGCATCATATCAATTTTTTTCAAAATAAAGGATGAAAACTAACTTTACAAATGTTCAAAAACCAATCCGTCAACGCGACGGCACTGTGCCAGGCAGGCCGATGCAAACACACACTGCACGGCTATAGCTAAGAACAATCGTCACACTGGTTGACGTATCTGGACAGGATTCGGCGAGGAGAGCGTCAAAAGAACAGCTTCAGCACCTCATCTGTGGATGTGCTCCCGCGAGGTCGGACTTTCCGCAATACATTGGTGACTTTTCAAAACTCCGGTCGAAATATTTGGGGGGGGGGGGGGTGCACTTGCCCCCTGTGCCCCTCGCCAAGCACGCCCCTGGGTGTGTGTTAAAAAAATGAAAATGAAAATTAGAGATTCACTGGCGAGAAAAAGCCACTTCAACCAGCCATGTGGTGTAGACCAGGCTAAAAATTAGTGGCGGTCAATTCTTCACCCTTGCAAGCTGTTGAATGGTGTAATCAAGCTGTTGAATGGTGTAATCAAGCTGTTGAATGGTGTAATCAAGCTGTTGAATGATGTAATCAAGCTGTAGAATGATGTAATCAAGCTGTTGAATGGTGTAATCAAGCTGTTGAATGGTGTAACCAAGCTGTTGAATGGTGTAATCAAGCTGTTGAATGGTGTAATCAAGCTGTTGAATGATGTAATCAAGCTGTTGAATGGTGTAATCAAGCTGTTGAATGATGTAATCCCAGCACAAGTTGCTAACAGTTATGTCTAACATAGCGTGTTCGCTATCATCCCTTCAGCGATGGGCAGGAGTATGAGTGTGCGTGCACGTGTGTGTATGTGTGTGTGTGTGTGTGTGTGTGTGTGTCCCATATGGTGCAGTGGTATGTGCAGCGATTTCCAATCGATAGGTTGCGGGTTCGATTCCCGACGATTATGGTCACACACGTCTTTCTTCTCTTTCTCAGACTCTTCCTGACTTTTCTTTCATTACCAACAGCCAGTGTATGCCGGAGTATGTGGTGTGGTGTGTGTGTGTGTAGAAAAAAATGGAAAAATGAAAAATAGGGATTCACTGGCCAGAAAAAGTCACTTCAAACAGCTGTGTGGTGGATACCAGGCTAAAAATAGTGGCGGTCAATTCATCAGCCTTGCAAGCTGTTGAATGGTGTAATCCCAGCACAAGTTGCTATGTCTAACATAGCTGTTCGCTATCATCGCTTCCGCGATGGGCATGTCTGAGGTCTGAGGTGTGTGTGTGTGTGTGTGTGTGTGTGTGTGTGTGTGTGTGTGTGTGTGTGTGTGTGTGTGTGTGTGTCCCATATGGTGCAGTGGTATGTGCAGCGATTTCCAATCGATAGGTTGCGGGTTCGATTCCCGACGATTATGGTCACACACGTCTTTCTTCTCTTCCTCAGACTCTTCCTGACTTTTCTTTCATTCTCCTGGGTGGTTACCAACAGCCAGTGTATGCCGGAGTATGTGGTGTGGTGTGTGTGTAGAAAAAAAAGAAAAAAAGAAGAAAAAAATGGAAAAATGAAAAATGAAAAATAGGGATTCACTGGCCAGAAAAAGTCACTTCAAACAGCTGTGTGGTGGATACCAGGCTAAAAATAGTGGCGGTCAATTCATCAGCCTTGCAAGCTGTTGAATGGTGTAATCCCAGCACAAGTTGCTATGTCTAACATACAGTGCTGCCAAATAATTTTCGCCCAAAATCGGACAGCCTTCACCGCCAAGGCTGGCCACACGGTGCGAATTTTTCACCTCGGCAATTTTTTTACAGAGAATTCAAAATATCGCCTAAAACATCATGAAAATTCGCTTCGTTGCCATGGTAACCCCAGAGTTGTCATGAATTTTGTAATGATGAGTGTGGTCGCACACTGACTCTGTACAGACTGTCAGCGTATATGTACAGTCATGCCATTCAGCCTGATCCAGGCATGTTACTTTGCACTTCCACAGCCTAGCGCTAGCCTTTTTAGAAGCAAAATGTACAGTGATTTGTGCCTTCAGTTGCGCTGAAAAGTGAAAGGACAGGACTTCTGCATAGGAAAGTAAAGATCTCCGACATTTTGGCTGCTTTTCGGACGTTTCCCTTTTCGGACCGGTTTTCGGAAGAGCCTTCAAAAATCGGACACTGTCCGAAAAATCGGACGGTTTGGCAGCACTGAACATAGCTGTTCGCTATCATCGCTCCCGCGATGGGCATGTCTGAGGTCTGAGGTCTGAGGTGTGTGTGCGTGTGCATTGGTGTCAATGTGTATGTATGGGCATGTCTGAGGTCTGAGGTCTGAGGTGTGTGTGCGTGTGCATTGGTGTCAATGTGTATGTATGGGCATGTTGGTTGACAGCATGTAACAAGGCAGAGATCACCGTGTTCGGAAACAGTGACCTCACTACAACCGGCATCCACGGTTGGGCATGTACACTTATTGTACATTGTACTGTGTGTGTGTGTGTGTGTGTGTGTGTGTGTGTGTGTGTGTGTGTGTGTGTGTGTGTGTGTGTGTGTGTGTGTGTGTGTGTGTGTGTGTGTGTGTGTGTGTGTGTGTGTGTGTGTGTGGCTACATTGCCGTACATGTTACTCACACTTGACTCACTGGTAAACTACACTAACCGCGAGTAAAGAATGACGGTGATGGAAATCGAAAACTGTACTTTTCACTGCAGTGAATGACCGGTTCAGGAAACATTGTATCGTTATAGTCAGTGTACTCAGCAATTCACTTACACACATGCTGACATAGGCACTAGTGTGGATGGGATTTGCGGAGCTAATCCGACCACTGGTCTCGGAAGTTTGACCGCACTAAAAACCTGGCGGGTAGGGCAGTCGGGGTGTCGGTACGGTCACTACGGTATTGACTATACCACTTTTTGCCCCAGGTAACCTGTGAATCAATGAAATACACTGATCTCGGCTCTAAATTTCCAAATTTTTCAGCTCAGCTCAACCACTCCCCCACGAGTACTTGAGATGGCTGACCGTACCGCACTAAAATACCTTCCGACGCCCCTGTGGGGGGGGGGGGGGCAAAATTCAGGAGAAGAACGTAAAAATATGATTGATCAAGGTGTGAGAGAGGAGAGCATGAAGCATATGGATAGTGCTAACAAAGTGTAAAAGGGTGCATTATTAAGCTGTGTATATGGAGGCTTGGTGGCTTCACTTGCGTGGATGTGAGATTTTGTCAGCGGCT